CTCCCTTGGGGTGTTGTAAACGTCTTTCCTTCCCCTGCTTTCCTTTGGCCCACTTATCTAGTCCCGGCAGCCCGGCAGCTTCCTCCACCCACACCCTGTGCAGGGATGGGGCTGCCTGGCTCCCCCCAGTCTCTGCTGGACATGCTCGGCTCCATTTACATGCAAGTCTCTATCCACTTTTCTTTCATTTCCAAAAACTGTCTTTCTGGCTCTCTCCCCAGACTTCTGTCGCCTGTTCTCTTCATGTGTACTGGATGACCATCTGTGTTGCCATGTATCTGTTTTCATAGGTGTCTTGCGGTCTTGTATAGATGGCACTATCTCTGTTACTACCTCACTGTCACCATCTGTCTGTGGCCATCTTCACCTTCTTGCCAGGTATCCATGTGGAGATCTCTGTGCCGTACGTGTGTGTGTTTGCTGCCTTGCGTTTCCATTTTTGTCTCCAATTCTGCTGCCTCTTTGTGTCTCTCCCTCTGTCCCTGTGTGTGTCTCTGCCTCTGGCTCCCTCTCTTCTCTGACTAACCTCCTCCTCACCCTTCCTTCTTCCCTTTTGGGTCTTGGAACCCTCCTGATTGACTATTGTCCTGTTTCCCAACCCCTGTCTCCCAGCAAATGCTAGCTCGCTAGCTCACTCACCAGGTCCCTGACACCCACAAGGGTCAAACCGCCTCCCTCCCTTCTCTCCCTAGTTACAGCCCCAGCTTCCCCTGGATGACAGCCTCAGGGGCATCAGCAGCAGGAGTAGGCGTGAGGTCTCCGCAGCCAGACTTTAGGATTCATGCATCAGTGAAGTTTAAAAAAAAATCAGAACAACAGATGATCAACTCTTCATTTTTCTAAGTAATGATTTTTTTATCATTCCATTTTTCTTATCATTTCATAGTAAAAAGAATATTTTAACGTCAGAACTAAAGCAGGAAGAACAAGATTTAGGAATATACCAGTCCTTAATTTTCATTTTAAATTAAATTTAGACAAAGTCCACAAATTTAACAAAAGCATTTGCTTTGTTATTGTATTGTTTTTTTCCTCCCAAGCTTATATTAAAAGTTAATGATGGATGAAAGTATCAGGCATCAGCGGGCCTCTCCTGTTGATTAGAAACCAGTGATCTTGCCCAGCCCTCTGGCACCACAGAGAAGTACGGTGGCCTTTACTGGTGGTAAAGAATGAAACCAGGACAGGACCTGGAAGCTCTCCTAGGCCTCATGAGGCCCATTCCAGCCCCACTGGTTTGTCAGCTAAATGATGAGGGTGCCTACCTGGGCATCAGGCACCATCCTCCGTAGGTCCCAAGTCTTCCTCTGGGTGTCTGTGACCAAGTAACTTAACCTCTCTGTTTCCATCGTTATTTGCAAAACAAGCAAAGTGACAGCCAACTCCTAGGGTTCCCCAGAACACAGTCCATGTCTAGTGCTCTTAGGGATTGTTACTGTCTGCAAGACGGGAGGGCAGTAGAGTGGTGTCCTGGAAAAAAAGAGCTATTTTGGTGGAGGCCACAGCCCGGGAAGGAAAGTAGAAGGGATCTGTACCTTGTCTTACTCTGCCCTGCCCTACCTGTGGGCCAGCCAGAGTCCCTTGTCAGAGGCAGTAGTCAGCCGGGGGAGGAGCTGCTGAGCTGCACCTGAGGGGTTCTGGAGTCCAGCAAAACTGCCTTGGAACACAGCACCCCTCCACTCCCTGGCAGACACATGATCAGGGCAGAGACCCCACCCAACGTGCTCAGGCCACCCTAAGCCCAGAAGCCAGCACTCTTGTCATGGACACTAACACTCCCAGCAGGAGCCAAAGTGAAGTTTCCTTGAGCATCCTGTGGGGTCTTTATAAGGTATCTATAAACTTCTTATTTTTAGAATAAATTTATTGAAAGAAGGCTTCTGTCTGAAAGACACAGAAGGGGTCCTGAGCGGGTTGCCCTGTATCTACAAACTCTTGAGGCAGACTTAGCAGATGAGTTTGAAGGTCTTGATCCAGCAGGTGTGAGGAGTCAGAAAAACCCTGGGTTCTGGCGTAAATATGATCCCCTTTGCCTTCAAGACCTGGCAGGCCCATTAGAACAGATGAAGTATTTCCTTCATACCAGCTCTGCCAACAAACAGCGTGCTGGGTCAGAGGATGCAAAGACCAAAGGAGCAGGTGCTCACACATGCCTCCTCTCAGACTGATCAAATACTTAGAGCCCTGGACAATGCCTGCCTGCAACATTTGCCACACATGTTCCCTGGTAGGCACCATCAGAAAGGAAAGCATAGGTAATGTGCAGGGAGAACTGACAGGACCAGGTGACTTAGTAGAGGATGGAAGATAGGTGAGGCCCTTGGGTAGGTGGCGGCACCTGTCCTTGAGAAGGAAACGCAGGAGGGTGAGTGGGTAGGGGCTGTCTTCCAGGCAGGGCTAGCAGAGCGTAAAGAGCATGTGCATTTCCAAGTGAAGATGCTTAGGGCAAGACCAGGTCTAGCGTGCAGGAGACACACCACGACAGACTGAATCACTAACTGGTGCAATAAGGTTGGTCTCAGTCATGCTGATCTAATGGAACACACTACACAGAAGGAAACAAAGACCAAAAGAATGGAAAAGACAGGGAGTACCTGAAAAGTACAACTTTTCAGAAGGAGTTGTATTATGTGGAAGTAACCCTGCCCTCAATCTGATTTCTAGTTTCTAAGTGCAGAAGACTGAGACACCACAGTACTTGAGTGTTAATACAGACTGTAACACATGGTAATGGAAGCTGGGCATGGTGGTGCACACCCGTAATTCCAGCTACCTGGCATACTGATGCAGGAGGATTCCAAGTTTAAAACCAGACTGAGCAACTTAGCAAAATCCTGTCTCAAAATAAACTTTAAAAAAGGGCTGAGGATATGTCAGTGGTAAAATACTTACATAGCAAGGCTCTGCATTCAATCTGCAGTATAGAGAAAAAGAAAAAAAGGAAAAAAGATAAAAGAGTAAATGGCTTCTCTAAATTGATGAGTATCATCAATAAATGTAAATGATCTTAAATTGCCTATGTAAAGGAATTTCATATGTATATACATTATAATTTATTCAGCCTTGAAAGAAATTATAATCCATTCTACAACACAGATGAAACCTGAAGACATTATGTTACATGAAATAAGCCAGACAAATACTACTGTTAATTCCATTAATATGACATTTATACAGTAGTCAAATTCATAGAGACAAAAGGTAGAATGGTAGTACGGAGGGCTAGGAAGAGCGGGGGAAATGGAGAGTCAATGGACTTGGGGATGCAGAACGTGTTTCACAAGGTGAAAAGAATCCTGGAAACATTATACAACAATGTGAATATATTTAACACTACTGAACTACACATTTAAAAATGGACAAAATAGTAAATATTGTATGTACAACTGACCACAAATAAAAATCTGAAAAAAATAAATTTCAGAATGGTTCATAGGACAAAACTCAATACTGAAAAAGAAATACACCCAAATCAGTGATACTGGAAGGTTGAAAATGAAAAAAAAAGGGAAAGATATATCAAACAAATGAAATAAAAAAGCCAGCAAGGACTGTGGTCTTGACAGAATTCAGACTCAACACTGCATGAAGATGTGAGTCTGGAATCCAGGTAGGTATCAAACAACACAGCAGCAATTTTATAAAATGAATTATAGGAAATGCAAGAAAAAACAGCAGTGTAAATAATAGGAGACTGACACATACCACTTTCAGTTCAAGAGACTTCAAATGGCCAAAAAATGAGGACAGAGAAAAGATAAACAATGTAATCTATAAATTAGCACACACACACACACACACACACATATCCCCCTAAGTGTACATCATGAAAACTGACCATTAGGACAAAGAAAGCCTCAGCGGCTTTTAAGGATACACCATTTTTTCAGTCTTTTCCTAACTGCAGTCTCAGTAAATGGTTTCAATGGGATAAAGTATTGGGGACTACAAATCCACAGTGGCTACTCTTGTAAACTCCCTTAAGGAATAAAAGGGAGTCTTAATTCCAAGTTTTCATTTTATCCCTTAGGGAAATACGCAAAATTAGCCATTGAGAATTCATGGTCCCCAATACTAAGGAGGTAGAAACACCTTGAAAATTAAAAAGCAACAACCAAATGTTCATTATTGATGCCTGTTACAGCATTCTCTGCTTTGCCATCATTTTGCTGGTTATGGTTTTCTGACGTGTTTCAGAGAAGGCTGACAATCAGGCAGGGTATGAATGTCATCTTTACTGTCTCTAAGAGCTACTACTTCTTCAGTATTTACTATGTGCCAACTACTATGCTATTCAGCTGCACTTTTATTAGAAACAACTTTCTAATTATTTTGTATGCCAAGACTTTAACTTCTCTTACATAACTGTCCAGGCCCAAAGAGTACTACACAACTGGAGGAACTGAAGGAAGCACACCAATCTTCCCAGTTAGAAACAGGTTTAAAACTTTACTGCAGTACTTACGGCACTGACCATGGGCAAGAAATACCCCTTCTGAACTGCAGTTTTCTCATTTGTAAACACACAATGTAGTAACATATATAAAGGGTCTAGCATGGTACCTAGGCCACAGTAAACATTCAATAAATATTAGTCTTGAGACTGAAGGAGGAAGAGCAGAATTTACCAGATAAATCCTAGGACAGCAATCTTTTTCATCTTAAAAAAAGAATTTTAAATAGAAATATCCTTCAAAGCATTTATTAAAAAGTATGATAGGTGTTAAGAGAAAAATAAGTAATGGTAGATCCACATTATCAAATACTGTACTGCAATGAAACACTGAATTATATTTATATGTACTCATAAGGATAGATGGCCATGATTTCAAAAAAAAAAAAATCTTTTTGCCATGATTGTTTTTTTGCCACGATTGAAAAAAAGCAAACCAGAATATATATATAGAATATTTCTTTCCTTTCCTTTTAAAAATTATTTATGCAGATAATAATCTGCAAGGATAGAAACCTAATTTTAAAAAGGAGGTAAGACTGCAAAGTTTGAGTTTTAACTTTTTATATTTGTTTATTTTATAATTTCCAATACATGCATATCAGAAAAATAAAAAGAAAACAAAGTCTTTTGCCCACATTCTTGATAGGATTTTGAAAGCTGCTAAACAGAAAGAGCAGGTTGTTAATTCTTCTGGCAAGTGAATTTCCATGCCCAGTGTTCCCTTATGAAGGAGACCGGGGAAGGAGAAGGGGATGAATTACTCCAGCATCTGTGTTATTCAGCTTATCCAAAGAGGTAGTCTGTTCGTCCCTGCCACCACTGCAGCCTTGACATGCAGAGCAACAGAGAAACTCTTTGATAAATGTCAACTGAAATAGAGCAATCAGCTGAAAGCCATTTGCTGAGCCGCCTGACTGCCCTGGGCTCGAGGTTTTCCTTTATTCATTTATCATGATATACGGCTTTGGCCAACATACACACAGGAGAGAAATTGTTGACATGTGGAACCCAAGTACAGAAAATCTTTCATTTTCCCCCTCGTCTGTTCACCAAGTAAATTTTTGTTTATTTAAAGACTACAGAGGATTTGGCTGTTAAGAACAAATGCCTTTGGAGTGGAATTACAACATAATTTATCATTTCCTCTGTTTATTAAAAAAAATGTTCTTTGAGAAGAACATTTGCAGTGAGTAGGGGACTTCAGTCATTCACAAAAGACTGTGGCAAAGCCATGTGGCTTGCTCCAAAAGGGGCTCCTTCATTGCTCTCCCTAGCTCTGTTTTCCTGGCTGACTTCCGATAGATGGCAAGATGGCCACGAAGGGCTGGGGAAAACAGATAAACCAGGCATGGAACTACGTTAGCTCCTTTCACTTCTGACCTAATCCTGACCTAAATTTTCACTAGCTAGTTCCAATTTTCACCCCAGGATAAGCAGAGGAAGGAGTACAACCTTTTTTACCTTGAGCCCAGAACAAAGACTGGAGGGACTAAAATAGCAAGCTGAAGACAGATGCTACTTCAAAGGAACTCAGCCAGTTTCTGCTGTGGCCAAAGCAGTTCCGCTCTGAAGGCAGACACCCAGGAGAACCAGCACGTATCTTTTCACTCAAGATGCTATCGATAGCAATCTAGTTCAGTGTACTAGGCACTGTTCAAAGACAGGGGCTACATTGCACCCATTTTTGTATTCCCAGGCCATAGTACAATAACTGACAAATGACTGGTGTTTATTAAATGTTTATCAAAGTGGCAGATCCTTCAGGGTTCCTGAACACATGAGGTTTTGGGAAGATGGTATGCTGAAGGGGGCCACACAAGCTGAGTGCAATGCTTCCCCCATTACCTGACTCTAAGTACCTCTTTATCTGTATCTTATATAAAACACTGGTTCAGTAAACATGTTTCCCTGAGTTCTGTGAGCTGTCCTAGCAAACTGAGTCAAACTCAGTTTGTAGATGGTCATTCAGAAATATAAGTGGGCTAGAGTCATAGTTGGTATCAAAAGTGGAAGCAGTTCTGTGGGGCTGAGCCCACAACCTATAGGATCAACACTACTTCCAGGTAGATAACATCGGAATTAAATTACTATGTAAGATACCCAGTTGGTATTCACTGGAGAAGTGCTTGGTGTGTGGGGAAAATTCTCACATCTCCGGTCACAAAAGAATTCTGTGTTAAGTGTGAATGTATAGTCCGAAAAAAAATTTTTTTTTCTCCTCTGACATTAGTGAGCTTTTGAATCAGGTCTCAATCTGAATCTTAGCCTTGCTACTTGCTAGTTGTATTATCCCAAGGAGGAAGCCTCACTTCTTTGTAACATGAAACTGACAATGAATAATGAAAGCCCTCTACCACTTTCCAGCTTTGTTACTTTGGAAAGATTATCTACCTAACACTGTCAAGTCTCAGTTTTCCTATTTGTAAATAGCAGTAATATACATCTGTCAAATTTACTGTGTAGATTATCAGTAATGCCTAAAACCGAATCTAGCTTATGATGACTTTATGATGAATGAATGAATGAATGAATGAATGAGTGAATGAATGAATGAATAACTGGGAGAAAAATCTAACTTAACCAAGCACACAAAGATGGACCATAATTAACCACTTATCTGTTGACAGGCAGGTCCTAGGAAACGGTATCTCATTATCAAGTAAGCACATTATCAAGGACAACAATAAGAATAGAAAGTGACAGAAAGATAGTGTTAATAACAGAAAGAGAAGAAAAAAGCATTTGTAGAGCAGCTACTACATGTAATTTATTCCCAACACAAATATAGGAATACCTACGCGTTCTAGGTATTACGCTGAGATATAGGATAATTAGCAAACAAGAATAATCAGTGTTCAAATAAAAGAAGCAGATTGAGCTATGAGAGTCAATCATGGGTTCTAGGTTGGGGTGGGGAGAAGACTTCCCAAGGATGTGACACTGAGATGAAAAGGAGTGAGGAGTGAAAGAGTGATCTAGGCAGATGGCCCAGAGACAAAAGCACAGGTTCTTAGAGATCATCCATCCAGGCCAACTCTGTTCTTTTCAGCTTTGTGGTTGTTATTCTTTCCCATTTATTTAGATTTTAACCTTTGGTGAAAATGAGTCTCTAGCAAAGCAGTTTTATGCGTGAAATTCTGAGCAGAGTTTAAAATCAGGGACAGGTCCTGACTCACTGTCTGAAGAGGAGATACCTGAAATGATGAGTAGGTCCCAATCCCTTGGCGACATCACTGCTGAGGCAAATGCCTGACTGAAGATCAGCAGATGCTCACTGAAAAGGCGCAGAGCAGAATGAAGGACATAGGGAAGGAGGAAGCAAAAGACAAGTCTGAGTGTCCCGCTGTCATGCTGGGCCTCTGTGGACTGACAACACTGTGCCAGCCTTCCACACGAACAGGTAACAGACGGGACCAGTGTGCCACCTGGGGAATCCATCAGAACACGGGCTCTGTCTGGAGTGTGGCTGGGCCTGCTGGACTTTCATCCAAGGAGTTCTTTGGTCTTCACCGCCAGATACCTGTCCAGTTCTACCATGGTGTCATCGGCCATCTGGCTGATCTGCAAGAATACACAGTGAGACAGTTTGATAACTGGGGCCACAGAAGGATATGAGGATGAATGTACTAGAAATGTGAATGGTTTATGTGGGAAATAATAGTGACAGAAATTCACAGTAATGGAGGGCCAGTCAGACATTGTGCTAAGAACTTTACAAATACAGTCTTATTTTGGTTCCCAACAGCAACCCTATGAGATAACTATTATTATCCCCATTTTGCACATAAAGAAACTAAATATTAGGTCACTTATTCAGGACACAGATTAGAAAGTTGCCATACCAAAATTTAATCCATGGTAATGTGATTCCACAGTCAACATTCTACAAAACATAGAAGCCAGCCTATTTGTCTCTCAATGGGCCTTCAGAACACCTTACACCTCAGTTACTCTGCTAATAAAAAGCCTCTTAGAAGAAACAATAAAAAGAATATTAAGATTTCAAGAGTTAAGCAGAAAAAAAAAGCCTTGAAAAAGGATAAAGTACATCTGGTTAACAAACATGGAAAATTCAATAGACATTGAAGAAATGCAAATTAAAACAAGATACAGTTCAGCTATCATAGTTAGCAAAATTTGCTGTTGTGGTTTTTAATTACAATATTCAATGCCAGCAAGCTACAGTGAAATGGATAAGCTCATATATCATTGATAGGAATTCAAACGGATGCAAATGTTCATACCATCTAACCCCTGAAATTCTCAACTAACAAATTATCACATGAACAGGATCTGAACATTTTCTTAAGTTCTATATGCAAATATATTTACCCTAGGTTTATTTTTAATAATAAAAAATCAGAAAACCTGAAGTTACAGAATGAGGAAGTAGTTGAATACATATAATCATTAAAAACAGATCAAGGGGCTGGGGATTTAGCTCAGCGGCATAAGCGCCTGCCTTGCAAGCGGGCAGTCATGAGTTCGATCCCCGGTACCGATAAAAAGGAAAAAGGCAAAAAACAAAACAAAACAAAAAAACAAATCACACATGGACAGGATGTACACGTGAATAACATTCCGGTACCTATTCCAGAAATATTTAAATGCTTTATAACAACCATTTGTAATCAGAAAAAAAGTATTTGTTTCAGTACTGTTTCAGGATACTTATAACACTATGGAGACATGCTCACGTTATATTTCAACTTAAGAAGCAAGATTGAAAATTCTGTGTATCTGTAGGAGATATGATCTATAAAATATGTGTACAAAAAAATTGTATTTTTTTTTAAATGGAGGAAAGTTTGCCAAAATACTACCAGTAATTAACTATAAGTGACAGGAAGATAGGAAATACATTCGTAGTATCAGTATCTGTCACATCTCACCTAGGACTTAGCACAAACCAAGTTCTCAGGAAATATTTACTAAGTGAATAATTATCAACGTCTTCTGGGTTTTTTTTTTTTTTTTTTTTTTTTTTTGTCTTCTGGGTTTTTTGCATTCTCAAATTTTCTGCACTAAGCATGTACACCCTCTAAAGTGAAACATAAAACAATGTAATTTGGTAGGTGCGGGGCCTCCCTCCTATATCTCAATGGGACTAAAGGAAGCTTAGAAGTTCAGAAGGTGACAGCATACTGCCCAGGATCTGCACCCTCGGCCAGCACAACGGCTGTTTGACATCCATCTTTGCCAACGACAAGCCTTTGCCAGGAATCAGGAACTAAAGGCACCAGAAAGAGCAGAAATTAAAAAGGATGTGCAACAATTGTTCCCAGGTGGGAAGGCAGCCAGGCTCTTGCCATAGCAACAGCTGCATATTTTTCAGCTGGAAAAGCAAAGTTCCTGGGACTGCCAGACACTCTGGAAGAGTAGCTGGACTCGAGAATGCCCACTTGGTGTCTCTATACTGAGCCAATCACAAACCCCTTGAGATGCTTCTGTCCCCAGCCTGGGGCAGGGCATGATGCCCAGCAGTGCTCCAGCGCCTGCAGGCTAACAGCCGAGCAGAGCCAGAAACAAACAGCACAGAGGGTAGACTGGGCATAAGGATGGAGATGGAGAGGAAGCAGAGTATCCAAGGTAAGAATTCGATGATGCGGGGAGGAGATGTGTGAGTCACCCCACTCTGAGTCTCAGTTTCTTCATCTATCAAGGAAGATGCCAGTCTCTTACTCAGAGTAGTTGTGAGAGTTATAATTATGACCATTTTAAATTCTTTATTTGCTATTCAAGTTTTAGTTGTGGGCCCAGGATATAGATATAGCTCAGTGGTAAAGTGCCTGCCTGGCAAGCTCAAGATCCTGAGTTCAATTTCTGGTACATACACACACACACACATCGCAGAAATTTTAGGGCCAGGGTTATACAGCTCAGCAGCCTGGCAAGCATGAGGTCCTAAGTTTGATTCCCAGTACCAAACAAAAACAAAAACGAAGAAAATTCTGACAAGTATTAGTTGTATTACTGTAACTTTTACTATCACTTTCTGACTTCTTTTCAAGTTAATCCCTGAAAATATTTACTAAGTTTTTACTATATTATAGGCATGAAAGTCTTATCTGCAGTTCATTTTTTCCATCTTCATTAGACTTCTGATCATACTAATAATTAACAGCCACAAAAGCTCCCACTTCCTAAGTACATACTTACTACACTTAGATATTGAACTAATACTTTTACATGCATTACTGTACTTAATCCTCACAACATATGAAATACTAGTATCTCTTTTTAATATATCATGAACATTATTCCACCGGCCTGCTGTTTAGCAGTCTCTACTCTGCATCAGTGTTTTGTCTCTGTTATTTCATGTAAATCTAACCACTTCACATAACCTATAGAAAGTACATGCAATAGGTATCAATCATCCCAGTTTATAAAGGAGTAAACCAAGGCATAGAACACGAACTGCTCTGCCCAAGATGACATCAACAGTCAATGGTGTGGCTGAGCCCAGAAGTCACCCACCTCTGCTGGCCAGTCTGCTCCTACTCCCTTTGGGGTCACCATACCTCCTCATTTCAGCTAGCATGTATCAATGAAAGAGTCAGTCTCAGAGCCTTTAAAGTCAAAGTGCAGAAAATGAGCAGAATGGACAAGCACGGTGAAAAACCCCTAAGATCAGTGACCATTCTAGTCACTTCCTAAGTATGCTACATCACCAATCCTATGGGACAGGTACAGTTGGTTCTACTTTACAGATGAGCAAAGAGAGGCTTACAAGAGTGAAGCTATTTGCTGCCACAGCTGAGAAGTAAAAGGGCTAGGATTCTAGTCCAGGCCTGTCTGAAGCTAGAACAAGAATCCTTTCCATTTTTATGTGCTACCTCATAAAAGATAAGACTATTACCAACATTGCTATTGTCATCATGGTCACATTTGCTAGGCAGGGCCAGAAGAGGGATGGCAGGGACACAAAGTGCAGCTCCAGGGTGGGTCTGTATACGTTATCCTTCCAGAAGCCTGGGTCAGGACATCCACTGCCTGCTGCTGGGTCTGCAGGACCCTCTCTTCTTAGTCCCACTAGCACCCAGCTTCACTCACTTCAGAATGGCCTGCTTCTCAGAGACAGGCAGCAGTGAAAGGATCTTGGCTAGCATTACTGGTGTTTTCTGCCAAGTGCTTTAATGTTCAGCAGGCTCATTTACAGCAAACTAAAGTGAAGGTGAAACAGCAGGCTGGCAGATGTCAGAGTCCTACAGCAGTGCTGGCCAGAGCGGGGGTGGGGTGGGGTGGTGGTCAGTTTGGAAGGGTAGAGAAAGTTTGGGGGTCAAACGTCAGGGAGAGAACCTACAAAGGAATCACTTCATTCCTACCCACCAGTGAAAGAAACATTGATATAATAAAGTTTTTAAAAATCTGATTTCAAAAGAATTTTGGGAACAAATTTTAAAAGAAAAAAATCTCGGGGCTGGGGATTTAGCTCAGCGGCATAAGCACCTGCCCTGCAAGCAGGCGGTCGTGAGTTTGACCCCCAGTACCGGAAAAAAAGAAAAAAAACTCATGAAAAACTAAAATAAAAATTGTTTACAATCCCAACACCTAAAATGACCACCTTTAATATAAGCTGCCAAGTATTTTATGTATGTGACTTTCTTTTACAAAAATGGAATCATAAGAGGCCAGCCATGGTGGTGCATGCCTGAATCCCAGCATTGTGAGTTTGAGGCCAGCAAACTGTATAGTGAAACCCTCAAAAAAAGACTCTCCTCCCAAAAAGAGGAATTATAAATCACCATTTTCAAACAATAAATTATAGGCCAGGTATGATGGTACATGCTTGTAATCCCAGCACTCTAAGTCCTTGAAGCAGAAGGATCACATGCTTGAGGCCAAACTGGGCAACATAAGAGACTTAAACTCTGTCTCAAAATAAAAAATAGAAGGAGCCAAGATATAACTCAGTATAAAGGTCCTGGATTCAAACCCCAGTACAGCAAAATAAAACAAAAAAATTAATTCTAAAAATGTCTATGTCGGGGTGTTTTTTGTTGTTGTTTGTTTGTTTGTTTTCTGTGGTACTAGGGATCGAACTCGGAGCCTTATACGTGCTAGGCAAGTTCTCTACTACTGAGCTACAACCCCAGCCCTGTATAATTTTATAATTGCTTTCTAATAGATTGAATGCAAATAAAACAATTATTTTCCCACTGTCAGAAATTTAGACATTTCTAGCTTTCTATTATTATGCATAATACATCGATGAATATCCCTGTACATAAGATGCTTGACAATTTATTTTGGATAAATTCCTAAGTTACTGAGTCAGGAATGTACAGATTTTGGTACATACTGCCTTATTATCCTCTGAAAAGTTGTGGGTTTTTTTTGGTCTTTTTCCTTTTTATCGGTACCGGGGATCGAACTCACAACTGCCTGCTTATAAGGCAGGCACTTATGCCGCTTAGCTAAATCCCCAGCCCGAAAAGTTGTATAGGTTTGTATAAAAATCATCTTTTCAGAAGAACACACAAATAAAAGCAATACTTGTAAGATAATCAACCTTTTAGATTCATATTTAAAATTCTAGGTTCAAGTGTGAGAACTTAGAAAAAGCAAAAAATTTAAATACAAACATCTAAAAATCCTAAGTGATTTAGGCAATAAGTAGTAGGAACCTTAAAAAATACACATTTCTTCTGTTTAGTAATTCCACTCGAGATGTTCTATTCTAAGGAAATACAAAGGCTTATAATTTATTGTAACTTTATTTATAATATAAAAATTAAAACAAAATAAATGTCCAAAAAGAGGGCTTCTAAAAATGAACCATAAGATCTACTATTTAACAGGCTTTAGAAACATTCACAAAATGTTTTTCAAGACACAAAAAATGCTAATGGCTTTAATGCCAAATAGAAAATTAAAAGCTGGATGCAAAATTGTATATATATGCCATGTACTCAGTCATAGTTTAAAACTATGGAATGTTAATGTTTAAAAAAAAAAAAGTATTCCAAAACATATAGAGCAGCTGCTCTGTGATATGAGCTTATGGAATGAATTTCTTCCCTATTTTTGAAGTTTTCTGTATTTTACATTTTCTATAATAAGCAGACATTACTTTGATAATCAGGAATAAAAGTAAACAAAATTTTTATAGCCACTGATGAAGCAATAATCAGCTGCACCCTTGTTTATACAAAGAATAAAAAATTCGTACCATAAACTTTAGGTTGATACCTTCTGATGGAAAAATGAGAGGAGCACGCAAGGCTATTTCTTACTCAAGCTTTTCACCATATGACAGTAAACAAAAATACTAACCATAAGGGAGGAACTAACATTTCAATGACAGTATCTTTAATATAATGCTTTCCCTAGGGAGATAAATATAGCACACAGTATAATAAATACAAATATGCTTCAAGAGTTCCTGAAGAACTGATCAAAAATGCACAATGAGATTTCTTCATGTACATGTACTAGTTTAATAACAGAAACATGTACTAGTTTAACAACAGAAAAACTAACAAAGCTATTTTCACTTTGAAAAAATTATTCACAGTAAAAAGTACTAGAGAAAAAAATCTAATCTGAAGAGGACAGTGAAAGGCTAGTGCTAATAAATGAAGGGTTCCAGCAGGGTCTTGTCAAGCAGATCACTTGACCATTCTTCCTTTTTCTTTTTCTTTTTTTTTTGTCTTTTTCCTTTTTATCGGTACCGGGGATTGAACTCACGACTGCCTGCTTGCAAGGCAGGCGCTTATGTTGCTGAGCTAAATCCCCAGTCCACATTCTTCCTTTTTCAAGGAGAACAGTACACTCTGGTCCCTGAGGCAGACACTCCACTGCTGAGTAAGGAGTACCTGCTAGGTCAAGGCTTACACCAGGAAGCAAGAATACACAGTGTGACCTGAAATGCACAACAAGCTGGCCCCGCTGGGGCCCGGGCCCTATCTATTTTGAGGCCCGAATGGTGCTCAGAAAAGGTCGGCCTGTGCAGGCATGATGGTACATGCTTGTAATCTTAGTACTTTGGGAGGCTGAGGCAGGAGGTTCACAAATTCCAGCCTGGCACTTTAGAAATTTAGTGAGGCCCTGTCTCAAAATAAAATCATAAAAGGGGCTGAAGATGTAGCAAGAAAGAAAAGAAAAGAAATCCAGCCTAAACCATGAAACTCCTTCTAGGATCAAGAGGAGGGCAAAAAAGATAGCAAGTAAGGAGCTTTGAGGGTTTAGGGATCAGGTAGTCCAAGAGTGCACTCATTCATTTATTTGAGACAGGGTCTCACTTTGTAGTTCCAGTTATCCTCAAACTCACTATGAAACCCAAACAAAGAAAAAAAAAAGATAGAAAAGGAGAAAGAAAGAAAGAAAGAAAGAAAGAAAGAAAGAAAGAAAGAAAGAAACTATATAAAAATTTCCTGGCATCTACCATATATACTCATTGATTTGGGAGTGAGGCTTCAGGTACCTGTATTTTTATAAGCTCCTCAAGCAAACAAGATACTATGGCAGATTAGATTATTTTTCAACAACTATTCACTTTCTCCCTCAGACCTCCATGAACATACAGTATATATATAGTACTTACCTGTGCTACGGTTAGACGATCTACATGACTTGCTTTGGCCAATGGGATATGACAAGAGCAGGTGCTTAAAATGCTTTACCATAGCTTGAGGAACTAGGTTAGAGAGTCTGAGTTCTCATTGGTCATTTTAAATCCACAGATCTACTTGTGACAAAGAACCACTAAACAAATGAGCAGTTCCTATGCTCTGCTTATCTGTATTTATACGTAGCTCTGGCTTGACAGGCCATGTGACCACCCATTCAGGACCCTTTCTGGAAATCCAAGAGCCATTCTTATTTCCAATAGAAACTCTCCTAATCTCAAAAAAAAAAAAAAAAAAAAAAAAAAATCTAGCCTGACTGGCTGGATTTAGCTGCCAAGAAAAATGCCCCAGGCAATTTGTCTTTGGCAAATCAAGAAAGATATAAAGCAGACTTGAACCCAATCCAAATTCTGGAGTCAAGCACACTGAGAACGCAGCCTAGAACAATTGTACCCCAGTGGTCCACAGAAAAAAAGTTAAGAAATACGGTTGGATACTAGAAATTATTGAGTTTTTGGGCAGTGGTTTATGCAACATTGTTGTGTCCATGGGTCACTGATACAGATGCAGTGTTCAGGTTTTTATCTAGAAATCCCCTCAAAAGGCAGGAATTTTGGAAGGTGACTGGATCCTAGGGGTGCTATACTCATTGATGGATTCATCTATGGATGAGCTCAGAGCTAAACGTGCTATTAGCAAGTGGAGCCTGGTTGGAAGAGGTGAGTCACTGCCATTCCCCTCTGCCATGGTGTCCTGCTCTGGAACAAGCCTACCACGACTGAAACATGAGCCAAAATAAACCTCTTCTCTCTTAAACTGCAGGTGTCAGATATTTTCCCAGAAATGAGGAAAGTGACTAAGACATATACACAGCCAATACAGGAATCTTAGAATATGCTAAATTTTAAACACCTCAACCCAGGATTAAGACCTTCTATGGTCTGGCCAGTCTGTCTTCTCTACTCATTACCTAATCTCCTCCTAGGTTCAATCCCTACTAATCTTAAGTGAACAACTTCCTTTTACATCCCATATGTACCTTTGTACGTACTGTTCTATTTCTTATCTCTATTTTACTCCATGAGCTCCTTTAAAATTTGCTCAAGTCTCACTAGTAGCTCACTGAATAGGCAAGTACTCACTTCTTAGCAACCACAAAATCACACAACACAGCATAAGCAAATAAGCTCTGAGGTCAGTCTGCTGGTGTTTGAACCCTGTTTCTGTCACTTACTAGCAATGTGACCTGGGAAACTTATTGAATTTCTTTGAACCTCACTCTCCTCCCTACCTATCTCACAGTTTGTTTTATTTTGGCAGTGCTGAGGATCAAACCAAGGGCTCTGTGCAAAGTAGGAAAGCACTCTACCACTGAGCTATTCCCCAATACCTACCTCACATTTTTTCCCACAGGCATGATGAGGATTAAAGAAGCCATGTACAATGTTTAGTAGAGTCTGACATACAGGAAAAGGTCAATAGCATACTATCCTCTTTTACAGATTCCTCCAGGATACAGCATGTGGCTAATCCCAGAATATAGAGTTGGTCAATGTTGATCATGTGAATGAAAACATCAGTTTAAATTCAGTTTAATTGTCTATACCTCAGATATGAAAGAATAATTCCCTGGGTCAGACACATTTGTTGGCAATAATACCTGCTTCTCTATGAGTCTGATGGTATCCTCTGAAGTCTTGTCCTTTGATTTCTTCAGCTTATTCATTGCATCAGCACGAACTCTCCGTAAAGAGTCTTTGGCCTTGTTGGTATTTTGTTTGGCCAATTTCACCAGCATCTCCCTGTGCTCCCTGGTTACTCTAATAAAAGACAAAAAAAATTTTTTTCAACAAAATTACTGTACACATTCATCTGTAACTAAGAACGTAAACCTACTCTGTCCACTAGCTCACTGTAACTTTACTCTGTCAGCTGAGGATATTCATGTTCCCGACATACAGTATTACAGATAATATCAGTATAACATATTCATGCCCACGGACATGCTCAGAGTTGAATACTATAGCTGGAGAGTTACAGGAAGAAAGCTGGTAAGAGTACTACTTTAGAGTATGAGCCAGGAATCTAGGAAGATATGAGACCAAATCCTTATCATGTCACTTAAAGATCCATTCAGGACCTCTTCTCTTTAGAGTTCACTTTTGCCTAATTGGGATACAAGGAGTGGTATAAAGACTAAATGAGATGATGCATGTGAATTGTTTAGTACTGATCTTGACATGTCAGCCATAACTCTACCTCTTTCTCACTAATGAAAACAATATAAGTGAGTGACAATGCTACAGAAATAGCATTATCTTTAAATATGCAAATCTTCAAAAACAGGTAAGTAGCAGCTTTTCATAACCTTAGTCCATCAGTTCAGGTCCCAGTATGACTATCATGAACAGTAGCTAGCATGTTTCATGAGACAGAAATAAACTCTGTAACAAGCCATGGAGATCTGGGGATTGCCTGTTGCTGCAGAATGGTCCACTCTCACTAGGATCTGAAGAGTTAAATCCAAATTAGGCAGGGTGAGGAAGGATTTCCAGGAGGAGGAACAGGCATATATAAAGAAATGAAACTGCAAAGAGACCATGATTCATTTAAGAAACTGGCTGGAGCACAGGAAAGGAATGCAAAGAAGCTGGGCAGCCATATTGTAGAGGGTCATATAAGATCATGAACTCCATTTTACACAAAAGGAAAATGAGGCCCAAAGAAGGTGGATATCTTAGGCATAGACCAACCCACGTTGGCCTGTTTCAAAAGCCAGTGGTATTAGTGTAACAAAATTCCTTTGCCCGGAAATGGCCATCACTGGTACAAGGTTCCTGACCCTCACATCAACATGGTTCTAGCCAAATAAGGACAATCCCAGGTTCTGGACATGTGGTCAGTATGGAGTCATGATGAGTAGCTTCTAAACAATGACAGCTATCTAATATTTTCTCTGATGAGAAAAAAAAATTAAGAATTTTGAGAAAAAGCTTGAAGACAAAGTGGACAGCTAAATCCTGGATTCTGCTCCTTGGAGGTATTCTCAAAACAAAAATCGTCTTGATGACTAACATCAAATTCATCTATGCCAAGTGAGTCCTTTTAAGTATATTATCTCATGGGTTTTCATATCAATGCTTCAAATTAGGTTCCAGTACTCCCTTTTCTAATGAGAAAATGAAGGCTCACAGATGAGTGACTTGCCCAGGGGCTTGACTGACAGCACTGGGACCCAAATCCAAATCTTTCTGGCCTATATCCTTTCCACTTTTCCATGCTGCTTACTCTTATAATCTATTCCAAATAAATCATGTACTTATGCTTCCAGGCAGAAAACTTCTCAAACTCAGTAATATGAATCCTGGGACCAAAAAGGACAAAACCACCATGTTAGGACTTTAGGGATTTGGATCAGATCTTGTTACTTTTCTGTTTTTTAATTCATTGAACAAAAGTCATGCTGACATGTTTAGGTCTCTTTTTTGTTCTGCCAAAGCATATGTCAGTATAAGAAGGAACAGGAAAATTAAAACTTGATCCACTGATTCAAAACTTAATCCTGCTGAAATACTAGGAGAGGCAGAAAATAAATCAATCTAAGAATGTTAAAAAAAAACTCTTAAATGTCTCTAAAAAAGACCTCAATGAAGTGTTCCAAGCTTCTACTTCACATATAATATGAAATAAATATTCCACTGGTTAGAAAAAAATCCTAATAAAAATTATCTAATCTGTTTTACACTACCTTGTTATATTTATTTATTTATTTATTTTTATTTTTTATTTTTTTGGTCTTTTTCCTTTTTTATCGGTCCCAGGGATCGAACTCACAACTGTCTGCTTCCAAGGCAGGCGCTTATGCTGCTGAGCTAAATCCCCAGCCCCATTTTATTTATTTTTTAAACAGAGGAAAAATGTACATTTTAAGGTATAAATGGGGGTTCAAAAATCTTAAATGGCCATATTAAAAAATCAAACTAATTACATGTAATTTAGCCTTAGTAAAATGTATGGGTATTTATTAATGCAAATATGACATTATCATGTTATTAACATCAGTTTCTAAATGTAATAATGTACAATCTCTATTGACAGTGTCAAAAATATTTCCATTTCAGGATGCAAATACAGAATGAGTCTCCAAATAGAAACTATAAGAAAATGGAGAATGAACTATAATGAGGAGCTGAAAAGGAGGGGAAGAACCAAAGGATCTTGGACACAAGAAAGGCTGGGAGGAAGAAGGGCAAAAGGTGCTGATTCAGGGCCTGAGTCAGAAGGTTTCCAATATGCTAGATAAGGCGCCTCAGGTGATAACTAAGACACAGGTTTTAAAGTCAGCCAGACTGGTTTAATTCCCTATCACTGAGAAAGTGACTCCTTGGACAAGATATTTAATCTTTCCAAGCCTCCATTTCCTTATCTCTAAAATGAAGATTTAAAAGACACTTTACAGGGTGACTGGGAGAAGCAGAAGCAACAAATATAAAGTACCAATCAAGACAGCAGCATATAGTACCTTTGAATAAATGATAGCACTTACAAATTTTTTAATCATTTACTTACTGCCTGCTGATACAGTAAGGGCACATCTACTTTTAAAAAAGAAACATATTAGACTATGAAAGTATTTTAATTCCTTTCTAAATCAGTGATTAATGCATCTGATCATCTGCACCTTACATTCATGGAATTCTCTAAGTGTACAATTAGAATTGCGTTACAGGTTTGTGAACTCAGAGGGTTGGTTCCGAGGACCCACTCTAACTTGGTGCTCTACCTTTGCTTATCCAGCACTGGCTGAGTTGTTTGTGCTCTGTGCCACATCCTAGGCCAACTAAGTTGCTCCAGAGAGGGGATCAGCCTAGTCCAACTTTTCCAGACTCAGTCAAGTGATGGAAACCAAATTTTTTAGCTACTATTTATAAAGGTTATAGCCACTGCTAGGACAGAGAAATGGAATTCCTATGAAAGAGCAGGTAGAAAGAACAATTTGCCTGCCTTGAGATCTGTAAAATGCCTAGAGATCATAGTAATTACCTAACAAGAGAAGACAGGAAAAGGCATTTTGGTGCAGAGAAGCAGGGTGGGAGATGTAATAGTGGGAGACTATGAACCAGAAAGGGTCAAATTTGCTCTGCAAGATTGGAGGTTAAAAGTTCTTTAGCAACAGAACTCTAACTTCAAAGAAAACCAAGGCAGAGACCCTATTTTTATAAAACAGGTAAAAAGAGACTATGCTCCAGTTGATGAGGGGAAAGGTCCTTGCTCTACCCTAGATACAAAGCGCAGCTCTACAGCTACTTGTAAATCTGCTCCTTACACACTTAGTGAGCTGAAGTAAGTTGCTTCACCTCTGTAAACCTTGTTTTTCTCATCTGGAAACAAATTAAAAACAAACAAAACAGCACCTCTGTTTCAGACTCAGATAAAATGACACATGGAAAGTAGATAGCTTCAAGCCTGGTAGAGAATAAGCATTCAGACAATGTAAGATCTTTAGGTGCCGCTCCTATTTGCGGGTTGGCAATCCCTTAGGCATCTTCAAATAATGAAGAGTCTATTCATGGAAGTTCTTATCAACAGGGAAATGATTGGACAAAAGCCTATCTTTCAGCTAAATGACTTCTGAGATCTGAACAATATATACACATTTTAATGCATACAGCCATGAAATTTTTTCTTTCTGGTATTCATTCAACTCATAGCTTTCTTCATTATGTATTTACTGGGCACCTTTATAGATAGAAAAGGGATATAAAATTGAACACACATGAGTTTACAGTCTTGCAAGGCAGGCAGTCATTAAAGAAACGCATGTACAACTAATCCCTAAGTTACAGTTATGACAAACACTGTAAAGACAATATAGAGTTGCAGGAAAATAATTAGTGCAGGAAAGGAATCTGAGCAACTTTTCCTGGAACTATAGATGGAGATTTTTAAACTATACAATATTTAAGTTAGGAAGAGAACAAGTGGATGGGATAGTGGCAGAGATCATTCTTACCAGAAAGAATGGCATGTAGAAATGCATGGTTTTCCCAGGTACGGACCCTGGCCTTGAGGCACTGAAAACAAGGGAATGTTGGCAGAGTAGAAGAAGCAGAGGTAAAGACTGCTTCCTGTCTCAAGAAAGCTGAAGAGGCTGGCAAGGGAAGGATTATAATAGGCCCTTCAATGTCATATTAAGTCATAGGAGAAATGAAGTATTATTTTGCATTCAAAAGTAGGGTCAGGGATATAGCTCAGTAGCACAAGCGCCTGCCTGGCAAGTACCAGGTCCTGAGTTCAATTTCCAGTAACAACAACAACAACAACACTATGAAAGTAGTAAGATTCTGACACCTGCTACACAGGGGTGAATCTTGACATTAAACTAAATGAAATGTCATACCCAAAAGGACAGACACTATATGATTCCACTTACATGAGGTTCCTAAAGTTGTCAAATTCATAGAGGCAGCAACCATTACCAGGGGTGGGGTACGGAGCAGGGAGTTATTCAATGAGTATACTTTCAGCTGCGTAGGATGAAGAGCATTCTGAAGATTAGTTTCACAACAATGGGAATACACTTAATGCTACTGAACTGTACACTCAGAAATGACTAAAGTGATAATCTTTTTTAAGAATAGGAAAATATATTAGAGAAAAGGAATGGGAGATAGGTATAGCTTCTGAGAGACAGGAGAGGTCCCTAATGGGTCACCCTGAAGTGGTTAGTTTTTTTTTTTTTTTTTTTTTTTTTTTGTCTTTTTGAGACAGGGTCTTGCTATGCAGTTCAGGTTGGCCTTGAGCTCAATTTGTAGCCAAG